GGGGATCATGTATTGGGCTGCTGTGGGGGGGTCATGTATTGGGCTGCTGTAAGGGGATCATGTATTAGGCTGCTGTGGGGGGATCATGTATTGGGCTGCTGTGGGGGGGATCATGTATTGGGCTGCTCTGTGGACATGTATTGTGATCTGCAGACATCTGCATCATTTTGGGGACGGCCCCTTCCTGTTCCAACATGACCGCGCACCAGTGCACAAAGCAAGGTCCATAAAGACATGGATGGGGGAGTTCGGGGTGGAGGAACGTGACTGGCCGCAACCCCATAGAACACCTTTGGGATGAATTAGAGCGGAGACTGTGAGCCCGGCCTTCTCCTCCAACATCAGTACCTGACCTCACAAATGGTCCAACATTCCCATAGACACACTCCTACACCTTGTGGACGCCTTCCCAGAAGAGGCGGAGCTGTTATATCGGCAAAGGGCGGAGCCAACCCAATACTGAACCCTACGGACTAAGACTGGGATGCCATTAGAGTTCATGTGCGTGTAAAGGCGTCCCAATACTTTTGGCAATATAGTGTATATGCCTTTCATGGACCCCCCTGGCTCTTGCTGTGGGGTTGCTGAGTGACAGGCACGCCGCTGGGTTTGTTTGGACTGATCCCCCCTCCCCCGTGACATCGGCTGATTAATGAGAGAAGCGTGTGATACGCAAGCAGGCCCCGCTGAGTCCCGTTGCCATAGAAACAGGAAGGCCGCCTATCTCCACACTATATATATGTTGATCGATGGGATCGTCACACCCTCTAATACACGAGCATGGCAGCCGTATAGAACTACTGAAGAGACAGGCGGTCGCCGTACTATGAGGTATTTTTTGGGGGGCGGGGACGGGATACTTTATGTGTGATGTTCCGCTAGGTGTACAGTATAATATTTACATATAATGGCGGGAATGTGACATCACTATGGCATCACAAGGGGGAGTTCAGTGGTTCGGTGATTGGTTTTCACTGCTTTGTATTCATATCTGCGCTTGTTTTGTTGGCGGTCACACTTTTGTTTGCCTCAAGAAGGGACGGCGCGGCCTGGAAAAACGTCGCCATGTGACACTTTGATGATCAATAAAGACTGCAAACGTTTTTGGAGTGCCAGTGACTTTTCCAACAGGGCAAGTCGGTGTTCCCTCATGGTCTTGATGTCGCTAATGAAAGTGTGAGGACAGAGTAATGACCCGGCTTGCTGATTGGCTGGGAAGCCGGCTCCATTATAATTGGCTGGGAAGCTGGCTTTCTGGCCAATCAGCATCGAGCCAGCCAAACAGCTGGCTCCTTGCTGATTGGCTGGGAAGCTTGTTTCCCAGCCAAACAACATGGAGCCGGCTTCCTGGGCAGTCATGAAGTCGGGCAACGTGTCATTACATGCCGCCCGCTTCCTGATTGGCCCATGTCAGCGGAAGCACAGGTATCGGCGACTACCAAAAGCAAAGTATCGGTACTCGATACCAAAAAAACGGTATCGGTGCATCCCATCCCCGTTGTGAGTTTTTTTTATGTCTGTCCAGGTCTGATTTGTAAAGAAAGCGTTTCTCACACTCGGGACAGGAAAGCAGAGCTTCGCCTGTGTGCAGTCTCTGATGCCTAGAGAGGCTGCTTTTCTGTGGAAAACATTTCCCGCACTCAGTACAAGAATACATTCTCTTACATCTGTGAAGCCTGACGTGTCTGGCCACTGATGAACTATGAAGGAAGCATTTCCCACACTTAACGCAGAAAGGCAGGCTCTCCTCTTTGTGTGACCTCTGATGTGCAGAAAGACTCGACTTCTGTGCATACCCTTTCCCGCACTTGGGACAGGAATACAGCTTCTTGCCCTTGTGAGAACTCTGATGTCTGACCAGTTTCGAATTTGAAGGAAAACAATTTCCACACTCAGGACAGGAATGTAGCTTCTTACCCTGGTGAGATCTCCGATGCCTGGCCAGGTCTGATTTAGAAGAGTGACTTTTCCCGCACTCCTGGCTGGCATGTAACTTCTTACTCTTGTGAGGTCTCAGACATAAAGAAACATTTTGTTCAGAACAAAGACTTTCCCCTTGTTCAGGGGCCGAAAAATTCCCCTCCCTCCGGATTCTGGCACTGTTCCTTAAGATACGAGGTCGCTCAGAATCAGATGGCCCATCCAGGCTGCCAAGTCCACCATCGATGGTGGAGCTCGTGGTCGTTTCTCTCGCGCGATCCCTACGCTGATCTTCCAGTTTAGAATCTGTAGGTTAAGCAAGACGACCCCTTGAAGGCTTCTTGATGGCGCATCCTGGAAGAATATAGAAGTGTCATCAGTAGGTGTGTGCGGGTTAGTTCACCCCAACTAGGATCTCATCTGGAGGACTCTGGGTGAGCAGATGTTCAACCAGCTGGGACTTCTCCCCTCTGGTGAAAGGGCCTTACCCAGGTCACTTCTATGGAGCCTTTTCCAAAGGTGAGGGAAACAATGGGTGACTTGGAGTTCAAGCCTAGGCAGTGGGTCATGTGACCTCTTCTAGAGGGTTGGAGACCTTCATCTTGTCCACAGCTGAAGAACATCTCCACCAACCTGACCTTTCCGCCCGAAAACCCTTTAAGCTGAGGAAGCTCTCCACCAACCTGACCTTTCTGCACTGAAGCTCCTCGAAGCTGAGGAACGTCTCCACCAACCTGACCTTTCTGCACTGAAACCCCTAAAAGCTGAGGAACGTCTCCACCAACCTGACCTTTCTGCACCGGAACTCCTCAAAGCTGAGGAACATCTCCAACAACCTGACCTTTCTGCACCGAAACCCCTCGAAGCTGAGGAACATCTCCAGCAACCTGACCTTTCTGCACCGAAACCCCTTGAAGCTGAGGAACGTCTCCAGCAAGCTGACCTTTCCGCACCAAAACCCCTGTAAGCTGAAGAACATCTACACCAACCTGACCTTTCCGCGCCGAAACCCCTCTAAGCTGAGGAACGTCTCCACCAACCTGACATTTCCGCACCGAAACCCCTCGAAGCTGAAGAACTTCTCCACCAACCTGACCCTCCCCTTTTGGACAGAGCAGATTGTTGAAGGCCAAGACTTCGGGTGATAAGTAGCACCGGATGGAGCTGGGAGCAGCACCTTCTCCAGGAAAGTCTTTCTGTCCTTCTGCCACACCTTATATCTCCATCTGAACAAGATTGAATCCACAAGTAGACTGCTGACCATCCCTCACATTCGTCTCGTCTACTTCACCCGCAACTGTCATGTTCATCAGATCTTTACCCTAAACCAGCAGGAAGGCAGAAAATATCATCTTGTGGGGTCCACCTGTCACCTCCAGGTGCCAGAGTGTTCAAGACCCAGACCCTCAACTCCAACTACCTGACCACGGTGAGGGATCTCATGATGTTCCTGTGTGGAATCCCGGGAACGCAGAAGACGGGTCTGAGGGATCTCATGATGTTCCTGTGTGGAATCCCGGGAATACAGAGGACCGGTCTGAGGGATCTCATGATGTTCCTATGTGGGATCCCGGGAATACAGAGGACGGGGACATCTCTCTGGTGGGTTCCTCTTACTGGCTCCATCTGTAGGAAACACACACACACTGACTGAATACATTGTTTCTATGTGTGTATCAGATGACGGGGGATCTAGGCAGGGCCGGTGCAAGGATTTTTGCCAACTCAGGCGAAGGTGCATTTTGCCCCCCCCCCC